AAATGGTGGACCTAAGGACAAAGACACTTCAACAGTTTATAATCAGTTTCTTCCAAATCCTTTCACTGAAGGGCTTTGCTGTCCCACAGAAGTAGCAGAAGGTTCACTGAAGAGGAGGGGAGTATTTGGGCTTTAAAATTTAAATACAGTAACACTAATCTAATTTGTTTTAAAAATACACTCCCCTTCCCCCAAAATCACACACTTTTACATAGAGCAAAAACCACTGAAAATAAGCATTTATAAAAGAGGAATGATGGGGTTTTGGCTAAGACACTGGAGTGGGACTTAGGAGATCTGGGCCCTAGCTCTGCCACAGACTTTTGTGAGATTGGGCAAGTCACTGGACCTCTCAGGAGTTGCTTGCCTGCGCTTGCATGTCACTGTCTCTCTTCTGCTGGGATAAAATTAGTTTTGCACTGAGCACTAGATGTTCTCTATTTGTAACTGTTGTACATTACTGCACTGCAATTATATATCTTTTCCTATAATTTTTAAAGACACCAGGTTTTTGGCTTACTCATCCTGGCAGACAGTGTTTTAGGCCACATAAGTGAATGATGTTTCTTGCTTTTTATACCTGTTAAAGGATGGGAGGCAGAGGGATTCAGACCCCATCTAGGAAAGCAGTTAAGCATGTATGCAACTTTAGGCTCATGAATAGTCCTGTGATGAAAGATTCATTATTGACTTTCATAGGTCTATTCATGTGCCTAAAGCTACGCACATAATTATGTGCTTCACCGGATCAGGGCCTTCCTTCCTTCCACAGAGAAGAAATGAAGATAGCCAGTAGGGACTGATGAGAGTTTGTCCACAAAAGGGCCCAATTCCTCAGTAAAAGATATTGGCCATTTAAATATCAGTATTCACAAGCACCTATGTCTTTGTGGCTGGTTGGGTGTTGTGCCATTCTTACAGAACAATGAGCAGCAATAGCATGCCCTTTCCTAATTACCTGCAAGGGTTTCCTGCCTGCTGACATTCATTTGTAGTGATTGAAGTGTTTACTTTATATTAATAAAGTTGCTGTCTTTTTACCACTTTTATTCTAAATATTGGTATATATTATTTTATTTGTCCAGGTCCATGGAAAAAATCAGTTTGTTTAAATTTACTAAACACGTATATTACTTCCTTTGGTAATATAGTTTGACTGATTATGGAATATTTGTCAGTTTAAACTCTTTAAGAAAAGGAGAAAAATACTAAATAATAAATAAAGAATAAGCTACATCAAAGCATTATTTAATTGATGGATCATTAATACAGACTATTACAAATTGTAATATTGTTGTGAAAGGTCTGTATGTGCATCATGTATCCTATAATAATGTTTTATGATCCACAGCTGCATATGAACTTATGTCGGGTATGATATTTAGCATGGGCCGACTACTGATTTACATTTATGAGTGTCTTTCAACATAGAACAGACACTTTCAGTGTAGAAATCTGCAGGGAGTGGGAGATGGAGGAAATGATAATGTCACACTTAAGCCTATATACCATTTGCATAGGTAAAGGCTGTGCTAGGGGCCAGCACATTCTGAGTTTAGCTCAGCAATTAACAAAAGCTGGGGTACTAAGTTTCTGGGGGAAGCATTAGCCAATATGTACAGCAGCAGCCTCTGGTGGCCTAAGAAAAATACTAAGTCTATATGCAGGGGGTGGAAATATGTTTTTTAAAAGTATGTATGTACATATTTAGCTATTTGACTCAATTTTCAATCCAACACATTAAAAAACAGATGCTTTTAAAAAATGATCTGTTGGCAATATGCTTGTTAAAATCTGATCAGTAAGAATATTAAAATTCACTATGCATTAATTAACACATTATATGAAAGTAAAATGTCTTTGTTTCATCATTTTACAAAGTATTATAGTCAATGCTGATCATCAGGGAGTTTTTGCCTTGGGTTTGTGTTGCTGAAAAAGAAACTAAATTTATAGGATTATTACTAAATTGATGACATTTTCTGTCTTCACTCTAGAATTCAGTTGGCAGATGTTTTCAAGAACAAAAAATTCTGTCTTATTACAAAACATATTAAGCAGGTTTTCCTGCCATAATGTCTGACATGATGTTTATTGCCCAGACCAAATCAATCCCCTTAACAAGCTATAATGTATGCCAGCAAGTACATTATTTCATAGTTAAGGAAACTTACAGCATGAAACAATAAGTACTTTGATCTCTCATGCTCTACTCTTAATGTCGTGCACAATCTGTATTCATCTGGTAAGTAAAATATTTTATACTTTGTGATAATCTTAAATGTTTAGGTCTCTGCTTTTACTTATACCCGTGTATCTTGCATATTTGCATTATTTGAAATAAAAATTAGAAAATACTTGAAGGAAATGTTCATTTTAAAAAGTCGTGGGGAAAGAAACTAGCTCAAATAACAAAGTTAATTTTTTTCCAAATCTTAGCAATACTGGTTATGTAAATTAAATCATCACTCAGACAGCTTTAATTTGTTCAACCAACACTTATTCATCAGGCCACTGTAGGTCTAAGCCAGTGGTTTTCAACCTGTGGTCCACAGGCCCCTGAGGTCCACAAACTATGTCTAAGAGGTCCACGAAAGGTGGTTGTTACCACAGAATAGTAGTTTTCAACTTGTGGTCCACAGTGCATCCCCAGACTGTGCTTAAAATTTCAAAAGGGGTACACACCTCCACTTGAAATTTTTTAGGGGTCCACAAATGAAAAAAGATTGAAAACCACTGGTCTAAGCGACCCAGAGATCATAATTGAGGTTGTCTATTCCCACTAATTAACAGTTCATCAATTTTGCCAATGCATTTGGCAAACAAATTTTCCTTCAACAACAGATATGTGTCTTTTCTTTTTACACCTGTTTGTACTTCAGTAAACTTATTTACCATGGCTAGTGTTAGAAAATCCTATTTCTTTACTAATCTTGGATCTCCCCTCTCTCTGTGACAGTTTGCCTGTCTCCGTGACAGTTTACCCAATGGCAAAATAGATATAACAATACTTACCTGCCTTACACGGGTGATATAAGGCTTAATTAAGGTTTGTAAAAATGTTTTGATATGTGCTGTAGAAGTACATCACACTCTATAGTATTTTAGAGGTCCCCAAATCCCATAGACTAAACGGTGCTCTTTATTGCTAATGATTGTTCAGTTTTTTTCGAGGCTGATAGGCAAGAGAATTGAAATTGTTTGTCTAGGTACGTAACAATCCAGAGGTGCTTTTACCTCATTTCACAAGACTCTGCATTGTTGCCTATTGATGAAAATGTGAAGTAACCTTTCAGATTTCAGAGTCAACAGCATCAGGTGACATTTGCATACTTTTGGTCTATCCTGCTCTCAGTGAATTCAGTAGGCACAGAACTGGGCCCGCAATGTACACTGCACATGAAGACTTGTGCTGTTACTTTCCATTCTTAAAAAAAGGGAATTTCAGTACTCAACTTTGAAATAAGTCTTCATTGGATAAAGAGAACAGTGCAAAAACTTACATTTTACGTATTCGTAGGGCTTCATGAAACCACTACGTGTGTTCTATCAGGCAAAATAGCCACAAGTAGAAAGATACCATAGATAGGAAAGAAATGTGGAAGGATCACTGCATTAAAAAGTAATCTTAGTCCTAATACTAGCACTGGATTGCTGGAGTAAGGCTTGATAACTGGCCCAACCAGTGTACGCTGCCTTTTTGTGAATAAGGCTGCCTCTCTCAAAGGCTGGGATTGGCTGGTTGGCAGATTGGTACAGTTCATAAAAAGTAGTGCCCTTCTGGTCGCTTTCTACGTACATCTGTAAAGGTTCTTATTGTTTCTACACTCAGGAAAATAGTTTATTTCCTGAAAAGGTATAATTTTTTGTTTGTTAATGCTTCTCCCAAGCCAAGTGTATAAAATTTTTAACTAGGTAGTAAAGCTAAAAATCACTGTTATAGCTGAAGCACAATTAATTAATAAGAACATGTTCAAAATTAACATGATTCTAACACCCATTTTGTTGGATGTTTCTCTTTTTCACATCAGAATGGCATGCAAATTCTTATTGTTTTAACCATTCTGTGGCATTTCTGACATGTTTTAATGTTGAATAAAAATGCTAACTTTCATAATAAGGGCCTTGAAAATTGCACGACTGTCTAGAATGTATAATGCATAGTATGTATATGAAGAAGAATGTGTCAAAGTGCAAATAATATTGTTTGTGCCCCCTGCAGAATTAGAAATCCTTGGGTAGCACTGTTATAACGATCCCATGCTGCTAGCATTACAAAGTGCAAAGGTTCACTGAGTAAGAAAAGAGCAAGGGACAGAGTTTCCTCATTACACCATTCTTGAACTATTCTAGCTTAAATATTTATTAAGATATTAATAACTCTCTCCCTTTATCTGCCTTCAGAAGCTTAGCGGAAATACAATGGATGGCTGCTCATATGAAAACAATACATTAGAGGGTAAAACTGCTACCACACAAGATGAACACCAGTATTTTGCACAATACATTATTAATTCAGCAGGTAATATATTAAAAATTATTAGGCTATAACTACTGCCTCCCAAGTACAAGACAACAACATAATACTGTAAATACATGCATGACATGTTGTGTAGCTAATATGTTACCAAAGCTGTATTAGGTGTTTCTTATATATACACATCTACTTATAAAACATTTTACGAAGTCTTCTTTAAATCAGTTTTTGTAACACATAATATGTTCCTTTGGGGTTTATTTGAAGTTCCTCTTTGAAAACAGAAAGCAATATTTGCAGCTCTTCCAAAACTTCCCATTCGATACATGACAAAAAAATAGCAATACAAGAAAGAGTGACTCATTTTAAATGAATTCTTTAAGACATAAGTGAGTAGTGTGTCTATATATTTAAAGAAAAAAAGCATAGCCATTTTTTTAATGTAAATATGTATACTAAATATAAAATACTTCAGCACATAATTTAGTATTTAGTAAAGGCAAATTAAACTAAACAAACTTACTCTAATATACAACTGCACAGTTTCTTTTTCTTTTTGCGGGTTCCGATACTTTTCGTAGAAGTCACGTCGCTTCTTTGTTTCTTTTTGGATTTTATCTTTTCTTTCTCTCTTTTCTGCAGGTTCATCTGAGCTATCAGAGGACAGCTGTACTTGGGCTTTTGTCTTTTCCACTTCAATATAGTTCTCATTGGGATTCAGTACTATTACTCCATAGCCTTCCTGTTTCAGAAAAGACAAAATAAAAGAATATTAACAGAAAGATTGAATCCTGGAAATTGCTTTCAATTAATTTTATTGTTCTTAATAAAAATATATGAAAGTGATTTCATATTGGACAAAAGTATATTATTTTATAGTAATATTTTAAGAAACCTATAGGGTTTTATTTCTGTAACTAAGGGGAAATATATTGATATGTGTATCTGTGTGTGGATACATATATCTCTACATCTATATCCACACGACCTGCCTGTTTCACCTTTTAAAAACAATGTTCAAAATGTGTTGGTGTTATTCATAACTACATGTTATTTTATATGATTTTATCAGAAAGCTACTAGAACTAAAAACTATTATAAGAACACTACATAATGACTAACAAAGTTTATGTCCAGCTAATAAAACTTTTACAATAGAATGGATATCTTTCAAATAAAATCTCTGGAAACTATTCAGCACAGCTTAAAATAGTAACAACCTTTTGTCTAGCTGACCACCAGCATACGATGCACAAACTGATAGCGACAGTAACCATGAATCAATATCAACACTGATTCAGCAATACCGCTTACAAGTCAACTCTGTTAGGGTAGAATGACTTTTAAGTACCACTTTAAAACTGCACTATAACTTCTTTAGGATTAAGTTATGTATTGTATTCTGCAAATCCAGAGAAAAACTATGCTGTGTAGGAGATTATGATTTTGTGCTTCAAGAAATGGAACTGTTGAAGAATACACAAATTTATGTAAGAGAAATAAATTCTCAGTGAAACAGCTATTTGTTTTTATGTAATTTAAAAATAGGTTTCAAATACTGACAATCAATGAAATATAGTAACATTTCTGTGAATTAAGCATTTTAAAAGTGGGTAGGGAAGAGAAGAAGGACAAACAGTTAACAGAATGGGCTCCAATTAAAAATAAAACACTCCTTAATAATAAACAACAACTTTATAATAATAAATAATACATATTTTGTATTAATTAGTTATCAAAACAACATTATTTCTGCCTTTTTAGTTAAACTTTAATTTTACATTCAGACCAAGTGAGAAGATCAAACAAGTCCACATACCTAGTTGACCAAAGTAAACCAAATCTACACCAACAAAAGATACTTTATTTGGTCTTGCTTTATTCTAATCTGTATAGCTATTCAAAAATCTTGTAACGCATTGTGATCACTGTCAGGTAGACAGATTGTCACTTGGTGATTTTCTACAGTTGGACACACTCGACTAGTTATTAAAATCACATTTGAAGGAAGTTCCTACCCCTCTTCCTTGTGCCTGTACAACTTTTCACGCCCTTCTCAAATTTCTGCTATAACTTCTCCTCCCACCAAAACTAAGTTAAAGGACACTGCTGCACTCTGCTAAACAGGGTGAAATAGAGGCATTCAGTACACTGTCTCTGGTGTAAGGAACATAGTCAAAAAAGGTCACCATAGGCCAAAGAGAAAATTGCCTCCTCACTAGATTCTGTACCATGAGTAAGTGGTCTCCTGTCATGTTTCTTCCCTGCCCTCTCTTCTGAGTGAATTGAACTTAAAAAAAAAAAAAAAAAAAAAAACCTGCCGAAAAATCAACAAAAACCAAACCACCATGAAGATTTGAAATGCAGCTATCCCATAACTGGATATTATAATAATTAATACATTACATTATTATTATTATTATTATAACTAGGAAGAAAGAATACTGTACTATTATTAAATATGTTTTTCAACTTTTAAAAATGAATTTAAGTTTATAAATCTAAAATAAACCCATCACAAAACAGAGTAGTGCTTTAGTAAACCTATGTAAAAATATTAGTGAATTAGGAGAGTTATATGAAAGTACACTTTTTGTGCTATGCTAAATGGTAGGAAGAAATGATGAAGTTTTCAAAACAAACTACATGAAGTACTTTGGTGATTGTAGCCTGCAGTGTAGAATGCTTTAGTTTGTTGTCCATTTTCTTGATCTGTTCATTTTGAGTGCAGACATTCTGTGCATTGATTCTTTTTGCTTTCTTTACAAAGCCAAATGCAAAATTCATGTATTCATTGTGGTTTTATAACTGTTACTGAAATTTGAAACTCTACATCCACTAAAAACTGGCCACAAAACAGACACATAAATCTTCAAAGAAGCAGAATTTGTCTAAGTTATTGATTATGTAACTGAAAATTACATGAGTCATTTGTCCAATTTTATGAGGACACAATGTCAATTTTTCACAGAGACATCAACAGATGAAAAATGATTCAATTTTTAAATTCACTACTACATAAATCAATTAAAGGATTTTTATCAATTAGATTTTAAATAGCATAACATGTCTCCCTGAACATTTTTAATTTTTTTTGTACTTTTTCAAACCGCCTTTTCCTTAGAGCAACACTACAATAATTAAGTCTTAGCATAATCTGCCAAACAAGTCTCAAAACTTACTGTTATAAAGATTCTATTTTAATATTGTTTTGTTTATCAGAAGTTATGTTTTCATTCCACATTTTCTATTTTTCTTTCACAACTTGGGTTGAAGTGATTATAAGACAAACAATGGTATCAACAAGAGAATTTGAGCTAACATACTATACTCACTCATATGAAATAATATGGATATACAATGTAGCATCTATAACTGCACCAGAATTTAACCTCTATCAGGCTGTACTACACTGTACAAACCTATTTCATCAAAAATGAATACTCATCCTTAGGTAAAAGGCCTCCCTCATGCTGCTGACCTATGAAAATAATGTGTTTCTTAGGATCCATCAACATCTGGAAAAATTATATAAGTAGTAGCACACATTTGCAGTATCAAACTTCATAAATGTATGCACTTATTAAAATTTAAAACAAAAAAGTGCAACCAGAAAATTATAAGTAGAGACAAAGAGCTAAATGCTCCACTGACTTGTAAATATCCATAGAGTTACACATGTTGACATCAATGCAAAATTGAACAGACAGAAGTTCGTGTAGTTTGAAAAACTGAAAATATTCTTTATCAACTACTAATAATACACAGCAGAGTTTATCACAAATCATTAATATGCCTGTTTAACAAAGATGAACAATTACTATTTAAAATTATATTCTATAAAAAGCCTGTTCAGAAGTGTAACCAGCATTTACTGTAATATCAATAGAGAGGCAAACACTAATCTCGCTTTCAGCCTAGATGCATTATGTAGTGTTATTAAAATATTGGACATGATGAAGTCTTTCATTAAATAAATACATGTTTCTAGGAGAATTTCTTAAGGCTGTGTTCATTTGTAAAAAGTTAGATGTGTCATTCATGTGTATAACGTCGAAGTAGCTTTTTTCTATATATCTGCTGTATACAAATGGAGAAACTGCTCTGCTGTTGAAAAGTTATTTTTGACTACAAAGTTATACTTTGTAAACTGCTATATTTTAAGCATTTGTAATTAGACTGGTCTAATTTTTTTCTGTCTCAAAACAGAATAATCCCCACAGTTCTTCAACTGATTGTTACAAACCAATCCTAATGTACTTCCATATCTCTGAGAGAAGAAATATATGTGTTGCAGTTAATTAACTCCAAGTTTGTTTACATAGTACATCTGTGACTAGATGTGATAATCAAGACAGATATTGATAAAAGTAAACTTCATCCTTTAGTTCAATGGATGTAATTGTAGTTTCTCTATCAGAGTAAAGTAGGTAGGTTTAAATTTCCAGCATATTAATAGGTATTTCCCCAAACACTATTGCTTCAGAAAGGTAAGTTAAGAACTCATAGTCCATACAACTAACTGCTCCCTGAAGTTTAAGAATTGTAAAAGAGCACTGCATGCAAGCTCTAGTTTCGAGTCTATAAATAGAGTTACAAATATATAATAGCTCACTTATCATTTATCCAACAGATGATTGCTAATGGGAAAGCAGACAGGTGTTGGAAAGCACAAAAATCATAAATAAGAAAGCTTGGCAATGAAAGTCATATAGATTCAGAAGTGCACTAGTCACTAAAATACAGCACTATGAAATGGGATGATACTTTTGTCCTTTATTGGAACTTTACACAAGATGTTTGAAATTGAAGTTATATCCAAGTTAATTTACCCTGTTAGTCAGCAATAGTAAGGTCAAAGGCAATCTAAAATATTTGAGGTAAATTCTGAATCTTTTCAAATCTCTTGTGCTGGCTAAATGAATAATGAGCTGAAAGCATTCAGCCCTGCATATTAATCCACCAAAATGGAATGCCATATGTGACCAGAGAGGTCAGGGGCTAGAGTGGAATCCCTTGACCTATGTAACTATCTTTTCGGCCTGTAAGTAAGGATCTATAAGAGATCATTTTCCTAAGCTTTATCAATCTGATTTTTCAAGTTCAGAATTCTATTTAGACTATTTGCAACAAGATCAGAGCTAATCCTCAAGGGAAATGCAACTCAAAGTGCTTAGGTCTGTAAACTAAATCTGCCCATGGTTAAAATGGACATAGCAATGTCCATTCATCTTTTTGAAAGACGTATGTTCTGTTTATTTCCCATCTTTTTCATGAGAAGGGTACATATATGTCATTGTTACAACATCCTAGGTGCAACAGTCGGATGAGGTCATGACAACCAATCAGAAGTCACTAGTGAAGCGTTAAAGTAAACATAGCTGTTGGAGATGCAGCTCAGCTTGAAAAATGCCCCCTCCATTATTTGAGTAATTTTCTCAAGACGTGACCTGAGACTGAAACGCCTGAAATGTCAGTTGACTCCGTTTTGTGTTTCCACCCAATGTGCATTTTGGCAACTGCACCCTGCTAACACTTTGTAATATTTTCATTCCAGCTACACCTCAACTCTTAGCTCCCTGGATTCCAGTGCTGTGTCCAAGTGTCTAAAAATGCTGTGTTACTGCCAAACATACATTGTCCCAGTAAGTTCCCAACTTAAAATACCTCATCAAGTTAGGCAGGAAAAGAAAACATGCCACAAAAAGTTTTTAGAGGACCACCTGTTGTCTATTATTTTTA